TACACTGGGTCCCCATGGGGTAGGCACAAATTAAAATAATTTGGCTGTGATTTATTACGGTTTGACCACTTCAACACAAAAACATTGTCCCGAAACAGTAGCACACCTGAATGAAGCTTTCCTGGACAGTTTTCCTTGGTAGCTTCTCCCAACTAGCCTAGTTCTGAACCCGTGAAGATCCGGGTTAGAGTAGGTCTCCAGGAACCCATGATTGTCGTAAGAGGAAACTACCGTGATCGGGAGGTCTGGTTCGCTGACTTGGTTGATGTGTGTAAATTGCGTAGATCAATTTCAATGATATCAATCACTGGATTGTCTTGTCCAGACTCGATTATTTACAGACCGCCGTCATACAGCTGGATTATTGCTGAGTGGGTCGTTAAATAACAAACAAATGACTTAATTTCTGTGGCAAGGTACACATTGATAGACTGCCATCATTGCAGATAGTCAATCATGATTATCCCTTTAGTGTGACGAAACAACTAATGAATGAACCTTGCGTAATAACAAAGTATTAAACACTTCCACTCATGGAAGTTTTTCCTGTTTCAGAGCACTTCAACTACAGGACACCCCATGTTTTCAAATACCCCAGAAGGAGTAGCTGAATGATATTAAAGTCTAAAACATCTATTGCTGTTTACGAACATTCATGATTAATGCAGTATAACTTAAGACTGTCAATCCCGAAAAGATCTAAGATCGTTTCTGCACATACATATAGTACTTAAGAGAGTAATCAGTATTAGATTATTCGCCCAAACTGATTCCATGGGGCGTAAAGGAACTAGCGTTGGAAATGATATGAATGGACCTTTAAAAATCAATGATGACACCGGGTGTTCAGGAAAATATTGTGCATGTCCTGCTCTACCGCAAACCTCAAACTGAGGTAGCATACGATCGGTACATTTATTATATAGTTGACTCATCAGCATAAATAGGGTCAATTGTCGTAGTGAACCTTGGATTGGAACCAACAACTCGCTGTCACATTATGTAACAACTCCAACTCGTCGTTGATTTATCAACATCATGTCCGACCTCTTTAAGGATGATGATAACATACACAAGCTTTAAAAATATGAACCCCTATTTAAATTATGATGACTTCCTCAGTAGAATCCGTCCTCGCCTCGGCAATGTCGGACAAATTCATTTTATGCAAAGGTGGGCATTTCCCGCATTTTCTTACATTCATCACGTCGATTATCTGTACCTTTTCTCCCAATACCGATTGTCCTATCTCTCCTGGTTTTGAATGCGATCGATTGACCATCACGTCTCTCTGCGTTGCCCTGGTACATCTATGGGGAACAACTCACTAGACACTCCCCTCTCAAAAATAACGTCGTCAAACATTCGACGTCATCAATGTTCATATCTCCAGAAATGACATCATGATAGAAGAATGTTTTATTGTGAAATAAACCACGCTTCGTTCTTCATTGTTCATTGCGATTTGTCGCGTAGCTATCTGATGTATTATGGTCGATATATTGAGAAATATGAGTTGACACGGAACAATGACATGCCCGCAGCGTTTCCCCCGGCAACACCCCTGACACAAAACAGTGTATTTGTTATTTTGCTCGGAGGTAACAGCTCTCCTTCACCTTCAAACCCTGAACAATAACATGTTCCCGAGAAGTAGGAAAATGCGAAATTCTATCTAGCGTCACCCGACGCACCAGTCAATATGTCATAATCACGACATGTAAGCTTGGCTCAATGGGAACTTAATGGTTTCTATTGGATATGGAAAGGGTTTTGTCGCGCTATTTGCATTTCCATTTTTGAGGAAATGCAAGTATGCACGCAACAGTCGTTTCGCTCTGTAGAGTTGCGTCCCTTGGGAAACTCTGATTGTGGGTTTCTAGGTTTGTCAGCACCATACCCGTCCTCGTTGGTTTCATCGAAGTGGTAAACGTCTGGGACCTGCATCATTTCGGGCTTTCCTCCCACATTGAGCTGACACGCCGTGATATAACTGGAGTAGTGTTTAACGCGGCGTTAAACAAAACTCACTCACTCACTTGGAGTCAGGTAGGGCGAATATGGAGTGGGGAATCTATTAGCGAGTCGAGAGGTGTGAGTTGGGGCATTGCCATGAAGTAGGAGACCTCCAGGAATCAACATTCCTCGCCACTTTCCTTTGATAGAATCTCTCAGGCGATGAAGCAAATCAGCATAGCAGGCACCGGTTATCGTCTTTTGACTTTCTAAGTAATCAACAAGGATCATATTCTTGGCGTCCCAGAATACAGTGGCATAACTTTCCTCCCTGATCTTGAAGACTTGAATTTCTTTGGTGCCGGAGAAGTCGAATTGTACCATTCCATGGATTGACGTTTTGACCCGGGATCAGAGGTAGACTCATTCATGATCGCCCGTCACTAATCTCGTTTTGAATAAGACGAAATCTTCCTGCCGATTTCAGTTCTTTTTTCCTTAAGATCAGAATTTAGAAACCGTGGCACCCAATGAGCAGATATCGTATTCATCTGTAAATGTACATGAATAATAGTTTCAATAGATCCATAGATCTGTGTCTTCTTCAAGTTCAGCAATGCTAATACGTCTATCTGACCAGTGTAAGTTTTTCTATCTGCTTGAGTGAATCTTCATTGATGGAAGTTAAAGGGACGTCCAGACCTAGGTTCATGATCAAGACTTGTTCTCCTAGCCTTAAACATAGCTGCCCAACGTTTAACAGTGGAATAGCTGGGGCACTAATCCCCATACACTCGTGACATGGCGGTCATAGATTTCTTTGAGGTGTACTTTTCTCTGAAGTCATAAACTTGATGACTGCTCGGTACTCGTTCTTTTCCATTTCTGTGTCCATTTGGACACCTAACACGTTCAACTGGCAGTCACTAATACACAAACGGCCTCGACAGACAAGATACACTTGCAATGAACTACTCAAACAATGGACTACGTTGAAAAAGCCAGTACCACATGCCTCCCAACACTGTAAAGTCACTAATAAATACATCATGAGAAATAGTTGACACGGTACAGGGACACGACTTCAGCGTTTCCCCTAGCAAAAGCACTGATTGTGGACCGCTTCCGTGGTTTAGTGGATAGAACGTCTGTCCGGAGTGCGGGAGATCTTAGGTTCGATCCCCGGCCGCGTCATACCAAAATACAAGATGGTAAAAGATGGTACTTGTTGTGTTACCCTGTCTGGCGCTTGACATTAAGGGGCTAAAACAGGGACAGGTCGGCGCGGAGTATATTGTGTCTGTTATCCATGTTAAACTGCAGCATAGTATCTCAGTGGCCTGGCACGTTTTGGTGTGGGTGATTTTGTAAAGGAAATCAAAGCTTGCATGTCACATAAAGGTTAGGTCAATTGTGTCAGCTAACTAATCAGGCTAATTAACCCGCTGTTTGTATGATGGTCACAGATAGGTGTTGGACCATGACTGTATCAATGGACATTTCGAAATGGACAGAAAGTGCACCATTCACTCTACAGAATCCTATATTGTGCACATGTATCATATGCAACTTCAAGAAAGTACCTCTATCACACCGATTAAATTCAGTTAAATGCAGTAATTATTGGAATATATATTTACTGTATAATATTGTCAGGGAATATTAGTTAACCCTTACTTTCAGCAGTTACCGTATTCAGAATGGACGCACTATCGTTCACTTAGAGCCGGCGATAACGAAGTCTTTCTAACAATAGTAATAATAGAATGAGTGAATAAAGTGAAAACTTATTAAAAGTGCAATTGTCCTTACTAGCAACACCTGTTATTTTCGTCTCAGCTGTATGCATTAATGTATGGAATATAATGTTGATATCTAATTCGACGATGCTGGTCAGTTCCAACATGAAGATTAACACTGAATTTCAACTATTAATGCAATTGCCTATGTAGACGTTTATTTTAAAAAAAGAATTATTCGCAATTCCGTTTCGGGGTGTAAAAACCCATTCACCTCGAAAAACAGACACGCCACACTTGTTATAGTTCTACGTGTAATACATAGACCCTCAGTGTTATAAAAATCTTGTATTAGTTGGTGGAATTGATTACTTTCTGCATGAATCATGAAGTATTGCTGTTACTTTAGACTAAGAGACGTTCTATGTGTATGGTCACCACGTTTAGTGACACACACATGTCCAAATAGGGAATAAAATGTTCCCTTCTTTGCACTGTGGGGTATCTTCAAAGGGTCAGGATACATTTTCAAAAATGAAATCAAATGTGATCTGAAGTTTACTGAGAAAACAGTATTTGAAAGACTGGATTTTTAAATTTAGGGAAAGGACATTTAGGCAACAGGTAGGCATCCCCATGGGGACCAATTTTGCTGCCCCTGCTTGCTGATCTGTTGGTTATTTTTGGCCTACGAGTCGGACTTTCTGCTCGGATTGGCAAAGTCCAAACAAGAAATTTAATTTAAGCAACACATTTATCGATGATCTGATATCGTTCAATAAAGCCAATTCCCTTCCATTGATTTATCCACCTGTGCTGGAAATCAAGAGACACTGGAACCGCCTCACATGTTTCAGATTTAGATATATGTATAAAGATTCAGTGTGACCAAAATCTCCCCACAAGGCTGTTTGACAACAATGATGACATCAATTTTTAAATAACCAACTTTCCCTTTATGTCGAGAAATAGTCCAGCAACTCCATCCTTATTGTTGACATGTGGAGGGGATTTTCCATTTGAGGCAATTCCCTATTTTCCTGTTTTTTTTCAGATGAACAATTGACTTGCCATTGAATGTGTGTGTGATGGATGCTAACAGAGGAGCAGGATACACTCACCTTTTAGCTATTAGCAGAGATTCCCTTGGATCGTTGAAAGGGTTTTATCTATGCCTTTTATTGTGACTCTCTTGGTGGATTGTTGGTAATGTCACTTGTTTGCCCTGCGCAGGGTAAATTATGTTTATGTCTCTGATATATAGCTAGACTTTTGCAAGTTACCATGTTAAACAAAAAACAAAGAGGCCATACAGAGATTTTAATAAAAAATGATGAACACGCTGGATACATAGCCAATGTGCGTCTTCACTTGTACATATATTCTACAATTATGAAATTATTTTCTGAGACATACAGATAACATGTGATCCAATAATCAAACCTGGAACACTCGTGACGGGAGGAAAACAGATAAAACAGTCACAATTCCAAACTTGGAAATAGTATTAATCTAGAGAAAATCTCTCACTGGTTCTCCCACTGTCTTCCCGATGGTTGTCCCAAACATACAAAAAACCCTTACATATATAAAATACACTTTATTCTTGATTTCTAGGTTTCCCTCAGATTCCTGACAGAGCATGATACTTGTTTTAGATTATGCTTAATCAAAGGTTTCGTTTTCACAATTATGTCTTAAGCAAAACATATAATTGAATCTACCTGGGTTGTAAAGTCGTGATAATACATATTCCAATTTAATTATGGGCGGTCGGGTAGTCTAGTGGTTAAAGCGTTCGCTCGTCACGCCGAAAACCCGGGTTCGATTCCCGACATGGGAACAATGTGTGAAGCCTATCTGTGGTATCCTCCGCCGTGATATTGTTGGAATATTGCTAAAAGCGGCGTAAAACCTGACTGACAGGTGGTGAAGAGACAGGTGGAGAGATACCAAACCCACTCGTCCCACCTGTGTCGTAGTGTTTTTTACCTAGTTTTATAAGTTTTGATTGGATAACCCCGCAAAGGTCAAAAGTGAAAGTTCAGGTTGTTTCATTCATATGCATCCACGAGTTTTCTTACACTTTATTAAACCAAATAATCACGTAAAACACCTGAGTTTCGGTATGCATTCTTTGTTATATGTTAACAAAGACCTACTATGCACCCAATCACTCGCGACTTTCAATTTGATTTCATTCTTGTGTCCCTCGCCGTGACATTGCTGGAACATTGCTAAAAGCGGAGTTAACCATACTAACTCACTCACTCACTCACTCAATCTGATTTCATGTAATAAATTCAGCGTGGCGAAATGAAGCGGGTTTGGAATATTTAGAACGATATCTAGACTTGCTTTGGTTGATTTGGTCTGTGTTCCCTTCAAAGCATATTTTTTTGCCATTGTTTTCGACAAAGTTTGAAATAATGTTTTGTTTGTTGTTTAACGCCACACTCAACAATATTCCAGCTATATGACGGCCGTCTGTAAATAATCGAGATTGGACCAGACAGTCTAGAGATTGACATCATTAGAATCGATCCACGCATGCGTCAACCAAGTCAGCGAGCCTGACCACCCGATCCCGGTTGTCGCCTCTCACGGCAAGCATGGGTTGTTGAAGACCAATTCTAACCCGGAATCTTCAAGGGACTTGTAATGAATGAACACGCTTGCACGATCAGATAAATCGAACTGTATCCTTAGACAGGTTATGTAAGTGTGTCTGGCTTCTGTTTTTTTCTGCTGTGAATAAGAACAGTCAGTACTGATTTCTACGTAAAGCTCAGTGTGTAGATCAGGTATCTGTCCTCATTCTGTTAGCGAACTTGTCCTTCGTTTGAAGCCGTCACTGACACAATATATCCAAACGGACTCAAGTTTGTTGTGTGTCAATCTAGCAGCAAAGTGTGACAGTTAACAGGAACTTCTTTTGGCGATCACACAGGTTTCTCTTTTCACATACAATTTGTATGACTTTTGTTTTGGTCTATTTGGATAAATTATGGTTATATGGATACATTATGAAGTATCTACTTAAATGCATTTTTAAGAATGATATATGTATATATCTCTAGATCTCTAGATCTAGATATATCTGTCTTTTTTAACTGTGGTCGGTAGCATCCACATTAATAGGTTGTCACTGTATCAATGTATTTCTATTATAATCAGTTGTGAGGAACATCTCGTTATCGCCGCCTCAAAGTGATCCACAATGCATCCATCCGACGTCAATGGACTTGGTTTCTTATTACTGTTCAACACGATGACCACCTTTCTCTCAAGGCCTAGGAAGGAATTGGGTTCCTTAAATATTACACTGCGTGGAAAAGCAAAGTGATTCTGAATCTCAGAAATATTACCATCTGATCTATTGTCCAATACCACAACATCAGACCAATCGAGGTCTCTTACTGTTGGGGTTGCTGCTTCAGGACCTTCAGATTCTTGGGCAGCGACTTGGTTACGATGTAAACCAAGATCACCCAGGTGTTTCAACAGCGATTCCCTGCAGGTGTTGCATCTCTCAAGAACACATCCATGGTTTGTGATATGCTTGACATACTGACATTCTGGGCCATCAGCAGAGGCGAGTTCATCGTCATCGATCAATAATCTGCCGCGTTCTACTCGGATAACTTTTTTCCTTACATATCCTTCAAAGTTCTCTGGATTTGTAAAGAGCACAGCATCTTCTGAAATACATTTGTCAGGTTCTGCAGGAGTAACAAGTGGAAAGTGTAGTTCTCTCAAGGCTTCGGATACGAATTCTGGTTTATCCTGCTCATCTACAACTGTGATGTCATACCAATGAAAGTGTTCATCGGGCTCAGTGGAATTGTGTTCTGATTTTAACGCTTTATTAATCGCATGAGATTTTGCTCCAAGGGAATGCAGCAGCAACGCCAAGTCTTTCTTTCCTTTGAGCTTTTTAATGTCAGTGACTTGTTTGGTGTCTTTGTAGTAGAAGACCACTCCTTCTTCAGTTTCAGCCACCTTTCTCATTCCATCACCTTCTTTGTTGTGACTGTATAATGCCTTTTTCAATTGCCCGGATTTGATTTTTGCAACTTGATCTTTTGTGACGGAAGAATCGTGCACGATAGGAACATCAAGTCCAATAAGTTTCACAAGCCACTCACGTTTTATGGCATCAACCACAACAATATCAGATATGTTTAGACATGACTGACTATTTTCTACCGTATCTTGTGTGAAAACAAATCCAATAGTTTTAAAATGTCTTTGGATCATCATTTTTAGACTGCCACTATTTTTATCAGAATATTCTATCTCCTTTCTTTCTCGTTTTCCATTGGGGAGAAATGTTGTAATGGAAGGTGGACAACGCAAAACTTTCCTTAGTACAACTTCTTGAAGAGCACCTGCTAAAGTGTCTTTAACCCCTCTACTCATGCCATCTTGACGCTCGCGGCTCATGATGATCCAGAGGGTATTTTGATATTGTGTAATGGCATCCTTGAGCTCGATATCTTCCAATAAATGGGAGGGAAATTCGTCTATAAATACGTCTTTGTTTCCACCATTTCTACGAAGATGCTTTGCCAAATCAGCTGTTGAATCAATCTGTTTGAATTCAATGTTTTGTTCATCTTGACTTAAACCCTGCTTAATCTGGAATTGTAGGACATTGAGGAGGTCTGACTTTGCCATACTAACAACACTCACCGTACGTCCACTGCGTAATAACTGACGGACTTTTAAAACCAAAAGAACGGTTTTTCCAGCTCCATATTCTCCCCGAATTATCAGCTTTGCCTCTGTGGTATTCAGCACAGTAATCTGGTGAGGTGTCAACACAATATTCGTGTACTTATTATCTATCAGAGAAACACATTGTCCCCTCGTTAAACCCTCTCCAAACGGAGTTTCAACTGTTGATCTGAATCCAATATATCGGCCAACAACTCTTTTGTAATCATCCCAAGATGAAAATCCTTGACATTTTTCAGAAATATAATTCCACCATGTCTTCATCATTGTTTCATCATCGAGATCCTCAAAGAACAGGCCCAGGTGAAGATAATCATCATTCGGTGACCTTGAATGCATAAGGTTATGAAACCCACTGTTGAACTCTTTACGGGTTTCTGGGAACCCTTCGTCATTTAAGTTCTCCCGACAGAAGTTAGGGAGACTGACTGCAAACGATTTAGTCATATCTTGTGTCAGGTCTTTAAAGTTGGCTTCAAAGAAGTCTTTATCACGACGAAGTTGATTAAAGGCTGTCTTAACACTTTGACTTGCTCCTCTCTTATCTTTTTTGTCAGCATAAGCCTTCACTTGTATGAACAGAACCCCTCTTTCATAATCTATTATAACAATGTCATGTTCTCCCTCCTTGCCCCATGGGCTTGTATATTCATTAGTATCTTCCACTGGTGGCCCTGCCTTATGACAAAAGTTCCTAAAGTGGTAGGATGTAAGTATAAAGGCTTTAGCGCGTTCTTTCTTGAGGAACCTTTCAATACAATCTGCTGTTTGCCTTTCGGCCTCATCTCCCTTTTCATCAGATGGATTTACTCTGTAAATCTTATATTCATCACCACTGTCGCCACTGTCCTCACTCTGTCTCGGCCCAACATGTACAGGGGGAACTCTGTAGACATGAGTCTTGAAGTCTGGAAAATGCCTTGTCACGAACTGGTCATAAACCTGGAGCGCATCTCGACTTCCGGTTGGACTAGCGGGATCTCTGATTTGACTAGGCTGGTCAGTAGCAGATGCACCTGCTGGTTGTTGCATTTCTACCCTTTTATCTTGACTTCCGGTTGCACTAGCGGGATCGTGGAGTAGGTTAGTCTGGTCAGTAGAAGATGCACCTGCTGGTTGTTGCATTTCTACCTTTTCATCTTGACTTCCGGTCGCACTAGCGGGATCCTGGAGTAGATTAGTCTGGTCAGAAGCAGATGCATCTGCTTGGTGATGCATTTCCGCCCTTTATGTCAAGACACCAGTGTCTTATAGCCAGATGAAACTGAAAGGAAAAACATAATGATGAAGAGAAAAGAACATAACAACTGCAAATCATGACATTAATGCGGATATTAATACAGTAAATATGTATTTCCATCAGAATATACAGGAGTTTATTTTCACTTCTTTTTCCTGCCGAGTCAGTTTTTCAGTAATAATGTACATCAATAACGGAAGGGAGGTAGCGCATCGACTTTTCAAGGAACTATCAATGCATATACTTCCTTTTTTATAAAAATGGTATTAATGGCGGGTGCTACCGGTAGGGCAGGACATGCTTACCCACGAACACCTGGTGTCATCACTGATTTTCAGTGATCCATTCATATAATTTCCACAGCTAGTTTGCCCTTTAAGCCGAATGGAATCTGTTTCGGCAAATAAATGGTTATTCTCTTGCATTGACGTTTTATATGTATTCTTTCAGTACACCCACACACATACATACACACCCAGACAGACACACATACATACACACGCTTACATACATGTACACACGTTAACGGCGGGTGTGTTGTCAAGGATGCGGGGAATAAAAGTTAAAGGCGGGTGTGTTGTCAAGGATGCGAGGTATACACGTTAAAGGTGGGTGTGCTGTGAAGGATGTGAGGTATACACGTTAAAGGTTGGTGTGTTGTGAAGGATGAAAGGTATACACGTTAAAGGTGGGTGTGTTGTCAAGGAGGCGAGGTATACACGTTAAAGGCGGGTGTGTTGTGAAGGATGCGAGGTATACACATTAAAGGTTGGTGTGTTGTCAAGGATGTGAGGTATACAAGTTAAAGGCGGGTGTGTTGTCGAGGATGTGAGGTATACACGTTAAAGGCGGGTGTGTTGTCGAGGATGCGAGGTATACACGTTAAAGGTGGGTGTTTTGCCAAGGATGTGAGGTATACAAGTTAAAGGTGAGTGTGCTGTCAAGGATGCGAGGTATACACGTTAAAGGCGGGTGTGTTGTCAAGGATGCGAGGTATACACGTTAAAGGTTGGTGTGATGTCAAGGATGCGAGGTATACACGTTAAAGGTTGGTGTGTTGTCAAGGATACGAGGTATGTACGTTAAAGGTGGGTGTGTTGTCAAGGATCATGGACTACTGTCAGTTTGCATAAATTCATGTAGATCACTGACAAAATACGTTATAGATTCAACGTGTGTATATTTCCTTATATTTATCTATCGATTCCAAATGATTTTGTCAGGTCACGAAACTACACTCAGATAAAGATGTTTATGCTCAGGTGGTTTTCATACGTTATATCATGTTTTCAAATATATGTTCACATGGAGTAAGATACACGGCATAAGGTTAGAATCATTCATATCCATCAAACGTCACATACGCTTTACATTACGTGAGAATGTCACAAATATACACACGTGGTAATTTTACCCACAATGCATACATCTAAGTAGCAGCGTGGCCATGGTCGGGTACAGTTTCGTAGTAAGTGAGAACGAATCACACTGTATCATTGCATGTGAAATGGATGTCACGCACTTCACTAATGAGAAATTCGAATCCCGGCACAGGACACAACACATTAACGCTATCACAACTCGGCTACCCCATCAGGTGTATGTGAGGCGGTAACATGTGACATAGGGGTATTTAGCAATTTGTGGCGTATTATATGGATGCGTTTATGAAACATGTTTCTTCTACATTTAAACGATTTCATTATGTACTTACTGTCATTTAGCAGTATGCATGATCAAGGCATGTCGTAGCTCCAACACGTACTAAACATAAACTACGCCGCTTAAGACACAGTTTATAAAATGTTTTCTAGCATTCTGAGAAATGCATGGCATTTTCCTTGAAATCCGATCGATATCCGGATTAACCACGTTGTGTAGCTAAGTGTAATCAATATCCGGTAGCTATGACACCAAGAACACATATTAAACAGGTACAGAACAGATGTTCTGTTCCACTTCCTTTTTTTCAAATCTGAGTTAATGTTTGGGCGTTGTTATGTGACATTTCATAACATGAAATGTCAAATCAAGATGACAATACGCTTACACAGATATCGAAACAACTGAACAACAACATACTACTATTTAAAATATTACGTATCTTCAATAAAATCTTGACATATATGTTAAATATTCCAAATGCACATGAGGACGCACATTTTCGCTCGTATGATTTTGAGTCTTTCGTCACACCACAAGCCCTACCCGTGACATGCACGAAGAGTTGTCACCTGTCGGTCAATACGACAAACCAATCACAATGCACGTAAAGATTGAAGTACTTTGATAAATCAATTATGGCAATGTGTGATAAAAAAAATCTGTGTAAAATACGTACCGTCATTTCTACTTTACAAAGTAGATGAACAACAGAATTGTTGATGTTAAAGGGGCACTGATCTAACGCAATTCTCCGGACTGGTTGTTGCCTTTGTTATTGTTTTTTCCCCCGTGAGTACCCGGATTATACGCTACGCAGCTGAGCGTGACCAGAGACTGGGCTACCGTGTGCAAGGACAGCTAAATAAACTTGGAGGCTGGAGGCAATATTTGTTTTACGCATTTTTGAACACTGATTGGTTAACTGTGATCTATAAAGATTTCGACAAAGGGCGCATGTTAATTAATTTCTTCAGCCTAAACAAACAGACAAAAAGAACGGTGGAGCTCATCGGATGTCGTCATTTGGAAATACACCTGATGGTTGTTGTTTAATAATTAAATAAAGTATCCATGCAGTGAAAGCATTTTCGGATTTCGGATTGCGTCGATAATACGATTACTACTCCCTTGTTGTCATCCACGTTTTCTGGTATAACCATACACTTGTGTATTTGTCGTCATTCACTTGATGCTCAGTTAATGAATTTATTACGGGTATAATTAGTGGTAGCACGACTTAGATTACCTGAGAAAGGTTCCCATTTGGCATTTATTGTGTCTGGGGTAATTATTCAATCTAAATACAGGTTTGAAGTGAGGTGAAATGTGTGTTATGTAATATGCACGTGGCAGCCCAGCAAGAGGTGAATGATCAGTTGATTAACTTTTTTTGTAAATCAACGGATCGTTCCTAGTCATCAAAGGATTAACAGAAAATACGTTGATTGATTAATCACTGTTATCTTGCACAGTGGACATGTCAAAAGTGAGTGTTTACATGTCTAGGTTTACTAAAACAAAGGGAATACTCATATCATGGCGTGAAGTGCCGATGTTAAAACAACATACTTTGTTCAAAGGGTTAACTGGTAATACGTTGATTGATTGCTCATTGTTATCTATCACTCAATGGATTTTTTAGGAACCGTGGACGTTATGAAAATAGTTTTCACGTGGGCTTTCTCAGCCGACCCTTGAGACTTGACACCTATGTGAAACACCTGAAACAATCTAAGTGATCAGTTGAGAAACGAACACGGGTTATAATTATCCCGAAACGATATATATCTTTTAAAATATTTGATTGTTACAGAGACACGTGACATCGAATAAGTTTCTTTGTACAGCTGCAGACGAGTAGGATATTGTTCCTTTGTGTGGATATTCACGGATACATTCCTCGAACAAGGAAGCTGCCTAAAATTTATACACATAAATTTGGTAGGTTGTAATTATGGTATTTGCATCTTGTTTTCCTTCATTTGCGGTAGCATTGAACCGATTCGTTCTTGTTCCTCTACATCTTGTTTGGGAAATTCTTCAATGCGCGATAGACGTTGTTTTCCTTTGTAAGCGTGTATATATTACCGTCAATTTGTAAAATGTGATTCTCTCAGGCAATTTATAAAATGTGTAAATATTTCAGGCATTTTGACTGAAAAATCTGTCCAGATTGACTAAAATTGAATAAGACGATCCAACGGGCCTAAAAACATCACAACAGATTATTAAGTAGGATGAGAAGCCAAACAACATAGAAACGACTTTTCAACGTAACATTTTCAGTCTCTTGGTGATGACATTAAACATCAAAAAGTTTGGAATTCGTTATCATAATAATACAGATGGAAATGTTTTTCAGTCACTTTGTAAAATAACTGAATATTTAGGCGTTTAATAAATTTGAAAATGTTACACATTTTGATAGTAAAAAGATATACACACTATAAAAAAGCAATGCTCAGGTGAAATATTTACTTTGTGTTGCAAGTCAAAATAGTGTAAACGAAAACCGCGAAATTACCAAGCAAATGACATATCAAAACTTCGTCATCATTACCGATGCAACCCGCAAAGATACCTACATTTCCTTATTATCTCGAAAACTGTATTTCATTTTGTTGATCAATGTGACCATACGCCCTTATTACTACCCATAAAAATGACTAATGCGCTTACGAATGGCGCAGCAGAGGTCGCGAACTAGTCTAGATTTCTGCTCTTCATCCGGGTACTCACTGGAGAAAAAACAATAACAAAGGCAACAACCAGTCCCGGGGAATTGCTTTAGATCATTGCCCCTTTAACTCATGCACGGGTCATGCACGGTGAAAATTTAAATGTACGCACGTGCGTTTGATTACATTCAGTTAACGGCACATAACTGCGACATCCATCTCTGACGATCTATTTCCAAATGTAATTCAGTTTAATATCCATTTTGATATGTACCAAGAGGTGATAAATATTTTCAAGTAACTGAAATAGCCACCAGTTACAAAACAATACATTTTCATATGTAACTATTTTACTTTAATGAAAGATAGTGTGTTTACATTTCAGTCCTTTGGTGGCGTTTTAAGAGTTGCTAAAAATCATAAAAGCTTAATTTGAAGACAACATAGGCTGATGTTCCTCGGGCCTTTCATATACAATCTATTCATATTGATATTTCACAAGTGGTATGTCAGCTACATGCAGGTTAAGTTTAGACAACTACTGGTAATCCAGGATAATTTGAATTGTGAACTGACAATTAACCCCATGTGACGTCTGAGGCCTGCATCACTTCGGGCTTTCCTCCCACATTAAGCTGACATGCCGTGATATAACTGGAATACTGTTAAAAGCAGCGTTAAACCCAACTCACTCACTCACCATGCGAATTGTTATGAGGTTTTGGTCATATTGACTACAGGTTGGTAGCAGTATGATGAGTCTTGGAAGTCACAAGTAGTGGAATGAGATCATGAGCTGCCAAATCCACGTTCTGTAACACTTTCCTACAATTGAACAACCTAGATGATATGGTGTTCGTATAGGAAAATGAAATTGTTGGTGGTTCTTGAAACTTGAAATACTGTCGGACATTTTGGGAAACTAATTGCGGCATTAACTGTAACACAACTTATCTCTTATGGAATCTGTACTTTATTAAGTCTTGGAAAGCCATGTCCTCCCTAGGTTTAGTGGTGTATTCGTTTTCGAATAGTCGTCGCAATGTTATGATTCTAAATTATGAATCGATTGAATCATTGAATCGATTAAAATGGAAGTGCAAATACTATTTCCAAGTCGGAATCTAAGTTCAACATTCCACTGAACATTAATCTTTTCCAAAATGTGCGGATACAATATATTATGATATTATATACTTTCTCAGTGCAGCCTAGCACACTAGGTTACTTCTCTCCTTGGAGCGGGCCAGTCTGATGTGGGTTGGATTGCAATACACGACAGACTTCCATCACAACACTTGTCTTTTCAACTCACATCTACTTTGTTCAGTTGAGTTCACTTTCCTTATCCACGTATAGACGCGAGTTTTGGGTGGCGCTGGTGAACGTAGCTTCGCTGGGGATAGTTGGATTGGTATATAAGATATTACGTTCGATATATTTCATGTACAGTGACAATAAGTACTCAGTAACATGTACCATGGACTATCAATGGGTAACTTAACCTCAGGAACTTCCAAGTAACACATTTGATAATAAGTTGTAGGGATGGGGGTTGTCTTGTGACTTTTCATAAATCTGACGTAATCATATGACATACAATATTAAATGAAAATAAAGCTTACAAAGATATGTTTTGTTTGTTTTTTAACGCCACACTCAGCAATGTACCAGCTATATGACAGCGGTCTGTTAATAATCGAGTCTGGACCAGACAATCCAGCGATTGGCATCAAGACCATTGATCCACGCGATTGGGATACGATGACATGCATCAACCAAATCAGCGAGCCTGACCACCCGATCCCGTTAGTCGATTCTTACGAAAAGCATAGTCGCCTTTTACAGCAAGCATAGGTCGCTGAAGACCTATTCTATCCCGGATCTTCACGGGTCACAAAGATATGTAAACAACACTATCATGGTTATAATAATAATATAAAATATATAAATTAAATGTTACCTGCTTTCAAAAATCTTTGACAAAAGTTTAAATTTTCTCAACAAGGAAATTGAATAACAATATTTTACATTTATGAAAACGCTCATTATTGAATGTTATAGCATATTTGCGTCTGCGTGTAGTAATAAAATGAGGAAGGGCTCAAGTTCTTTCCTCGACCTTATCACTACAACTACTTCCTGGTATATATATATACCGTACTGAGCGTGAGATGGTGTACCCGATATAAGTGGTTACATCACTGGGTGCATTTTCTAATCAACGTAGTTTATATTTCATAAACCATGCAGATATTGTAATGTATTTAAAATCTCTATTGACAAGACCAAAGTGTCACTGAACTTAACTGAAAATGGAAGAAAATGAATGAAAAATAGTTTTCCCCTTTTAAAGCAGTAAATCTCCTTCCCTATTTACCAGTAACGTTCTCATACAAAAAACGTGGAAGTGAACGTGGAACTGGTAGCTCATGAAATTCCACACGTGAGGTTGCCAAGAGTCATGACACTGCTACAAACGTGTTGGCCACGTAATCACAGGTGACTCCTCTCTTGTTGATGATGATACCTCTCTTACAAACTTCGTCAGTAATTCAAATATGGACCAAGGTATCGTGAGCAGCCTCGTACCAACTGAGATCACAACTTTCAAAGCATTACGGATGATGTTTCAGTTGGTTTCATTTTCCTTGCATGTGCGGCATGTGTCGGTGAGCGCCACTGCCCCGGGGATAGTTCCATTTGTAGATAAGACGGAGCTTTCGTTATTTTTTTAAACAGTTAAATGGCAGACCCAGAGAGGAACCAGTAACCCCATTAGCCAGTGGGTAATTTTACGGAAGGAACATCCTAGTTATACATTTGATAACAAGTTCCACGGTTGGGCGTTCCCGTGTGACATTTCATAAACATGACGCAATTACATGCAAAATCAAGTTGACACAAGCTTACACAGACATCCAAACAACAAGAAAAACAGCAGCAACACTACTACTACTGCTATTTTGAATATTACGTACCTTCAATCAAATGATGACCGATATCTTAAATATTTCCAATGTACATTTTGCTGGTATGATTTTGAGTCATTCGTCACACCACACGCTCCTCTGTCCACCTGTCGGCGAATACGACAAACCAATCAGAATGCGCGTAAGGATTAAAATACAGTGATAAAAATAATCCCGAGTACCTAACTCAAATATTGCAATATGTGATCATTTAAAAATTGTGAAAACGATCTATCGTCTTTTCTACATTACAAAGTACATGGATAGCAGAATTGTGTAGCTTGAATTGTACTTGTTAATACAGATAGGGTCAAGGGCGGTAAGAGATTCAAATGTACATCCGCGTGTTTTGTTACATCCTATTTACGACTAATAACAGCGACATGTATCAAGTATCCATTATTTGATCGGCTCGTAGTCAGTGCACTGTGTACTGTGTCGGAGTGAAATATTCATGTTGAGTGAGGTTTACAGTGCGTTAGCACTGTAAACAACATGAACTAGTTGTTGGACACTTAATAACAATAAATATCCCCGATATGTAAGTACAGAATATTCTCTACTTACATATAGGGGTATATATTTATATTTACTAACCAATAACGAGTTCCTGTGATGAAACTCGGCATTCATTAGTCCGGACTAGTACAAGCAGAGACACACATACAGACCATACACACACATACACTTTTGACAAAAATATACTAAATTTATAAAGATATACATAAAATATTACAATGATAGCTGATTTAACATATATACATAATCATAGTCACACACACACACACACACACTCACACACAAGCACGCACGCACGCACGCACGCACGCACACACACACACGTGCACACACACATACACACACACACACACACACACACATACACACACACTAACATACACATTAACACATGTGCATTGTCGTCGCTATATATACGTGTTATAATCTTGAACGCGACGTTAAACCCCATTTCACCTCACCTCAAATAGAAATGGGGACCAAGGAAATTTATCCAGATAACGGTTTTTTCTACTAATAAAGAATTCTTCTTATCATATATACCATAATGAAACCTTTTAAGTGAGCAAAATTGTATCAGTCGAGTAATGAGCCAAAGTGTGTCAAAAACAGGAATAAAATTAATTGATTTTCATTTTAAAATTATTACAAAATTAAAGATCATGTAACCTCCATAGTGACAATCATGTCGTGTGATATCTCAAAATCTGCCTGAATACTTTAGGAGCTTATACAAAATTCCACAATTACTGTAAGAATAATAGAAAGTATGAAAATTTAGTAAATGTTATCCCACCCCCATCTTGTTAAAAATCAACAAATATATAAAGACATATTAAAATACTATGACAAAATAACATTCTTGTACAACAAATTGTGTTAGTTGAACACATGAATCGCTTGAGAAATTTGATTTATCCAATATTGCGGACAAAATGTCCTCCAAGATGGTCGCCAGTACAGGAAAATAACAATATTTCGTCTACACTTCGGACTGTATGAGAAATTTACAAGTCAAAATTTAGGTTTTGACCAGGAACTCTATCTGTCGTATCATTGTCATATAAAAGATAATTTTCGCCTGTGTTATGAATTATAATTGCAGATCTTATTGACTTACTTTGAAGTGTTAATGTGCATCACTTATATGCAATTGATTCAATATTGTCAGTAACTCATCAACAAATCCAATATGTTTCTCCAATACAGTAAGATGCTTTTAGTCACTGCCACCACTGCCACTGGCACTCAGGCCTTCAGGTTCAGCATCAAGTGCAGAGTTTGAGAAAACGAAGCAGGTGCAGTGTTCAGTACGTGGCAGTCCAGGCATGAGACAAGGGCACTTTCTGGAGACGACATATGATCTGTCACTGTAGATGAGATGAGTGATGTATCTGCAGCCATATTTTCGTCTGAAACATGACTCTCACCATGTGTTGCTTGAAAGCATCATCTATTGGTGGGAACATTGTAGCTTCCTTGTCAGTGTTGGAAGCCTAGATAGACATAGCTCAGGTCATCCAGATTGTTCAAAAGTATAGCAGGAGGACGATGCTCTAGCAGAGTTTAGGGACATTTCTAGGCGGCTGAATCAAAACTGACAATCACCATAAGAATATCATGTTTCACAATGTTCTTCTGGATCACAATTACCAGCGTGCAACTGCCTTTCCCTATTCACTACAAATAAATAACAGAGAATACCCAGTCTCGATTATTTCAACTCTGTGCAATAACGCTATTGAAGCTTGGGTCCCAAGCAGTGTATCGCGTTGTGATGCAAGAATGTGAGTTCAAGTAATTTTCAAAAGATCTTATCCTCATCAATATCTAATATTTAGTCATCTAAAGTGATCTCTTCATATTAGAGGTGGGCACTCTCCACCCGCCCCTCTCTACCATTTAATCAATTTTGGTACATGGTGCATCTTGCGTCAAAACCAAACAAGAGCTTAAAATATGCCGGTTCAATGTATACATTGCGACAATCCTTGCTCAATTCTTCCTTGCTGCTGCATTTATCAAAGCAAAGTAATGAAATATTCAAATAGTCAAGTATTTAATTTCCAAATGTGTTTCGATTGGACATCGCACAACGGTTGATATGTCTCTTCTGACTCTTCTAGACTTTTGATATAATGATTGTTACGACAGTATATGTATATATCGTAACAATCGTTATATCAAAAGTAACTAATGTATGACACCAATACCTATATTCCACTCTTTTCATGAACATGTTACATTCAATGCATATTGATATTTGGGAATATTGAGCCCCTGATATATGTCACAACAGAAAAGTGCATTTTGACCCCAAAACAGTATCTGCCACCAAAACATTTGACCACAACCATCATTTTCTAGTCTGTTGGATACAAAAACATAAGCAAAATCTAAGTTTGCTTTGTTCTACTCTGGGGAGGGGTATGTCGACAGTTCGAGGGTCTGGCAACTACTCTATTTGGCCTAGAGTGTTTTGAGCCAAGGCTCAGATCACTCCCCACGCTCAGAGCAGTCCACCCTCACGGGGCCCAACTCGTGGCCCGGCTCAATTCACTCTACAATATTTGAGCCTAGGCTGAGATCACTCTTGAGTGAGTTGGGCCTTGGCTGAGATCACCCCAACGTGTCTGAGCCTAGCCTGAGATCACTCTAGAGTGAGTTGGACTTAGGCTGAGATCACTCTGGAGTGTTTGAGCCTAGGCTTAGGTCACTGTCCCTAGTCTCTGAGCACTCCACCCTCGTAGGCTCAAATCACTCCCCTTACTATTTCAAATGTCCATATTTGATTGAATATTCAGATATATTTGTGTATAAATTTATGAATATATTGGAGGCGAATGTGGTTGGTGTTGTGGGGTGTGCGTGTTGCTTGAATGAATGTGCCCACCCTCCATGTTGTTGTGTCACAAGTTTGAGGATTCGTATGACTACATGTATATGTGTCCATTCTTTAAACACTTACGAAAACAACAACGAAAAAGGTTTTGTCGTTAATATTCAAGAAATTGTATAAAAACGTGTTCAACCAGTTATGTTTTTGTTGTTGTGTTATTTAATTTTATAGACTTGAATTGAACTGTGTGTATCGGTCACAAAGTCGGCAAATGGTTCTGTGGTGGACGTTGATGTGGCGTGAACAGAAGACTGCGATTTCCCTCTTTGGATACGTCCTTTGGCGATGTTCCGACAGGCAGCGCTGAATCTCGGCATTTTCGAACTTGAAAAATGTTGACAATTGAATGACAAAATAATTGGCTTATGCTTTCCTTGTTTTAGCCACTACCACGAGTTACGAATGCCATAACATGCACGCGCTTGACGCACCGTTTATCGAATATCAGACTACCGACATTTCCTAATAACATATATCCAATTTATACACCAGATATTTTGTGTAGTCAGGTTCAATGAACTACATACTACCTGTGCGTTTCATTTTTTGAAGAGTGAATGTTGTATATATGCTCATAACGAACTACAGTTATTACGAACTAAAATTAGCGGTTCCTTTGAGTTCGTTATAACCCAGATTACTGTAGTTAGTTCTGTTGTCGTTTTAAATTTGTTTTCAAGCATTAGTTAGATAAGGCATGTTCGCCAACATTGAACTCTGATAAAAATGACGGATAAATTGTGTTTATTTCTGTCAGTGAATAATGATACATCAAGGTGACCAGCCTGTCATTATTCCTCCTATGTTAAGCAACGTCTGGGAAATATTTGATTGGCCCCGTGAAGATCTGGGTTAGAATAGGTATTCAGCAATCCATGCTTGCTGAAAGAGGTGGCTTTGCTTGTAAAAGGCGACTAACGGGATCGGGTGGTCAGGCTCACTGACTTAGTTGATGCATGTCATCGTATCCCAATTGCGTGGATCGATGGTCATGACATCAATCACTGGATTGTCTTGACTCGATTATTTACAGACCGCCGTCATATAGCTGGAATTATGCTGAGTGCGGCGGTAAAGAAGAAACAAACAACATTTGATGAAAACAAGTACAAAACGTATAGAAGTGATACAACAAACCAATGGATGTATGGTCAGCATGGAATACCAACAGGCTTAGGTGTGATAGTAGGTTATACCCTCAAATCGAAAAACACCATAATACAAACAGTTTTCTAAAATTATTAAATGTCTATCTTGAATAAATCGCCTGGGCCCAATTCAACAAAGCGATCTTAGCGCTACGACTGTCGTAAGTGTATATTAAGTATTGGAGTCACGATCACCTTAGCGCTACGACTGTCGTAAGTGTATATTAAGTATTGGAGTCACTATCACCTCAGCGCTACGACTATCGTAAGTGTATATTAAGTATTGGAGTCACGATCACCTTTGCGCTTCGATCGCTTTGCGGAACGGATCCCAGGTCTGAGGTCACGAAGACGTAAACTTACGTCACTTTGGGAAAGCTGCTTTGTAGCAACTCTAGTTGTGTTCTGGAACACTATCTCCCCGTATTTCCTTGGCGGCGACTTTAATGGTATTGATTGCTCACAATGGCTGCTGAGTGTAGATGCTGCGTGAATGGCTCGCCGAGTCTTGCCTGGCTCTCACGATAAAATATTGTTCTGT